AAAATGTACCTAAAGTATCAAAAGTACTCAATGCAGTAAAATGGCCCCTGTGAGTGATACAGCTGTTATATTATTCTAACTGATGCATGTGTGTGCCAGCAGCATGTTAATTGGTTGAGATGAATTTAGTTTTGAACTTTTCTACATACTGTTGAGTAGTTTAATCTATAACAGTGCTTGATATTTTTTTTATAAACTTGTGTTTTGTATATAAAATCCTAATTTGTAAAGTAAATACTAACAAACAAACAAATAAATAAACTGGGAGATATAAGAAATGTATGAAAACTACATGGGAAAGATTTTTTGAAAGAATGAAATTTTTGATTTTTTGAACTTGGGTTGAGGCAAAAAAAGCTTTTAATGACCCTGAAAAAGTCCTAATTTCTATGTCCCTGCATGCTGTATATTTCTAATCTTGTTAGTAAGGACTATGACAGCTTAGGAAATCTTAAATTACAAGTGTCTAATTCACCTGCGGGTTACGATCCTGATCTGTTCCCAAATTGGTGGTCCTGTACTGCTGAAGATGACAATTAGTGGTTTGCTGTTGTGGGTAAAAAGTATAATTCAACGCTGTGTAGCGTTTGTGTAATAATGTAACCCAACTTCCAGCTAGTTGGAGGTAGAGTGAAAGATTTATCAGAACCAGTGAAGGATAATAACAGAGTGATAGTTGGAAAAAGGTTTTGCCTAAAGTACTCCCCTTTATAAATGATAATGAGACAATAAAGAGGTATAAACATTTAAGCTAAAATATTAGTTTGTTTTCAGAGACATTTTGAAATGAGTAGATAGATATTAAGTGTAGTGGAGGGAATTTAGATTTGATGAATATGATTTTAATGTTGGTTGGAATGCAAAATAGATGAGTATTGAAGTCCTTAGAGAGTCGATAGAAGTTATACAGTATTAAATTGATGATAGCGATGAGTCGGCTCTTTAGCACAGCTAATGATTTAGAAAAATCTTAGGTGAAATAGGTGGAACTTTGATAACTCAAATAGTAGCAATACATAATAAAGATTATTATTATGGAAGAGAAGGGAATGATGTTAAAACAGCCGTAGGTGTCAGCACCAATGGTGAGCTTCGGAGGTGTTTCGACAGAGCAGGGTCAAGTGTAGTTTAATGTTAAGCTGTTGGTCTATAACTCGAAAGTTTAAAAAGGACTGAGTTATTTTAGTGTTGATTATAATGTTTGAAGTTTCTGTTTCCTTCGTTATTCATATTAAGTAGATTATTTATATTGTTAAAACAAATTTCTGAACATACAGACATAGAGGTAGTTTTCAGTCCTTCCTAGATTATATGAATAGTTTCTGTGAAGCAACAACACATGTTCGACAATAACAGACATAGTAAAGTTTTCGCAGATTTTAGATGAGTCATTTAAAATAGCAATTGTAGTAGATTTAACTATGTGTAAAGCTTCCTTTCAGGAATAAGAGCTGCCTGGAGCTGATATGACCTGGAGAGAACATACTGGTAGCGTTGGACCCAACCGCTGCGAGATGCTGAGAGGTACATGTGGTCATGATCCCAGTGGCATTTTCCCAAGTAAAGAGATGACTGATTTATGGGAAATGGATAAGGAAAGTAATATTAGAACGTGGGGATGCAAGAATGCTGTTTGGATCCCAATGATCACAGTGTAGATATTCCATTTTAAATTGCTGGTGTTATTTTTGGTATTGTATGTAATTGTTCGTATAGTGCATAGGGAAGATATCTTTGTATTTTAAGAGTTCTATTGAGAATCAGCTGTAACGGAACAGCAGATGTTGAGGTGAAAGTGATAAATGGAGGAATTAGTATATTAGGTTGATTTTTGTTTGATTGTGTTTTATGGTCTTTTTGTCCTTGCTAGGAAACCGAAGAAAGATGGTAATGTTATGTCAATACTTCTAACTGAGACGTTAAACACTAGCGCTGATAGTCTACAGTAATGCATACCCATAAAACTCATTAAGAGTATTGATGATTGATTTCCAAATGTATTGTGTTGACACGATTGTGTCAAAAGGGGAAAGTGGGTAGATTATGGTTTTAGGTGGGGGGGAGGTTAATGTATGTCGGTTTGGTTAGGGAGCGTGTTTATGGTAGGGGGTTGGTGTTTTATGGTATGACTGGGTCGGCAGTTGGTCCAGTCAGGTCAGCTGACGGACCGATTGTGAAAGACCTAAACTGCCGTCTATGCTGTGGTCTTCCCTCCATGCTGCATGAGTAAAGGAATTTGATTCATCACACTGGGTTTGTAATTCTTCAGAAAACTAGCACGTCTCCGAGAGATAGG